AATGGGAGGGTCGCGCATGGTGTGAGCACATACTCTCAAAGTTTCAGCCTCCTAGCTTTTCTGGTTCCCGAGCTGAAAGTGGGTGACAAAAAGTGCGAACACACACACACACACGCAGAGCCTCTTGCCATTATGCGTTTTTATGCGTTTTTTGCAGCTATGCAATGCAAAAACACATATTGTTGAGGGGTTGTCTGTGTGTCTGTGTGTATGTATATGTGTGTGTGTCTGTGTATTAGTCTGTAACGAGTTTTTATCCCGAGATCCACAAAAGCTACAAGGCTGAAAATTTGGTGCCTCAGTCTACACATAAATGCGGGCTCGTTTTCTCAAAATAAACATTCAGATCTGCGTGTTTCTCACGTAGGGGCACGTGAAACTTCTTTTGGAGGGAAAACGTTTTCGGGAACAGTCCATGCTAGGATGCTGGAACTTCACAGAGTTGTTCCCTAGCCGCGTCTAACCCAGACGTTTCAAATTCAGCCTTCGCGCACTCCAGGTCTCGCGTACGCACACGTTAAACTGGTATCATGCCAGCTCCAGATTTAAGCTAACCAATAAGCTAAGAGCTGCAGTTTTGCAGCGTTGCTTGTCGCCTACTTCTGTGCCCGTGAAAGTAAATTACTTGTCAGCTGTTCCCCATCTCACGCACGAACACGCGAAACTTTCACGCACGCGCTTCTGTAACTTCAGAATTGAACCAGCCAGAAGACCTGAACTTTCTGGGCATAACCGACGGTGGCCTTTAACCAAGCGCACGCAAAAACGACTTACAGATCACTTTCACGTCTCGCGTGCGTTTCACGCGTGCACGTGAAATTTGACATAACTTCGCAACCGAAGCATCCAGAGCACTGAGTTTTTTGGGCATGGATTGGGAGTCACTATAATAATTTCTAACAGCCGTGGTGGCCGGTCCCAATTCTTTTAGCTAGAAGCATCTGCCGGGAAGAGCGCACCAGTGGCGAAAAAAAAACCTGTGGGGGAAGTGTGCAAAAAACGCATTCTCGTACCGGCAGCCGGTACGCTTTCGACTAAGTTGTAATTTGCATATACGCAATAAATGGCCAGCGCACCGACTGCCGCTACAAAGATGCGGTTTTTGCATAGTCCCCGCAATTTTTTGTCGCTAACGGTACCGGTTTTTCCGGCAAATGCCTCTTGCTAAGATAATTGAGAATGGCAACCAGGGCTGTTTGAAAACTTCCCTTTAATATTTCAGCTTTCTAGCGTTCCTGGTTTCCGAGTTAGCAACTTAACCACAAAAAAATTTCATAGGCCCATGTTACTACGACGACGACGTTACGATGTTGTTACGACGAGTTTCGGACCAGACTTGACTGAACGCTGATGTGCTGTGGCGCTTAGTGAAGAGACTGGAGTGAACAAACGAAATTTATCAACACCAATACAAGTTTACAAGTGAGTCATTGGAGCGACGCGATCAAGTCGAACGATTGCAGCGACAGCCGCTGCAGACGAAGAGTGCTGATTACTGGAATGCAGCAACACACTACTGCAATGGACCGCTGAACGCCAAACACGGGACGCACTGAACGCCGACGATGAACACGGAATACGCACTGAACTTTACAACAAAGTTACAGGCTTAAATACTCATCACAAAGGGTGGAACAGATCACAGATCAATTTGCTGCGCGGTTCTGGATTGCTCTTTGCTTCTCCTGCGCGCCGTCTTTTGAAACTCGGACTCCGAGCTCTGCGGATTTCTGCACGATACGGATGAGTTCGTTGCTGCGTTGTTTTGGCCACGGTATCTAGTCCTCGTTTCCTCTGCATCGTTCGAACTGTTGGCTCTCTTTCTGGTATGGCTGCGACTGAGTTCTGGGCTGCCGGATCAGTGTGAATCTGATAACAATAATTTAGTGCTGCGGCAAATCTCCTCGATCCCACAGTAGTCTAACTTTCATTGTCAGAGCAATACCTGTCGTCTCTCCAAAAAGGTTGTTGGCCCGTTTCGAATACCAGATCAATTTCTTCAGATCCGTCTTGCCAACCCGCAAAGATCCAAGAATGGTCGGCATACTTCCCCTTCATTGCCATAAACCATTCTTTCATTTTCTGCGATGTTTGTTCGTAACCCTTTACGAATGGTGGCGCCATGATCACTGCCTGCACATCAGGACGTTTCTGTAGCGCGGCTACTATCTCTTCAACATCTTGCTCTTCTGCGTCCACATCCAAAAGAAAAAATCCAATTTCAGTGAACGGGCCCATTTCCCAATGGCTGTTTCTCAGTTCGCTCCAGTTGCTAAACCGCTGTTGCTCCCCTGTTGTTTTTACAACTACATGCTCGCTTTCCACCAGCACTTTGCTCAGTGTGCACGCTCGTGCTCCTCCAAATATTGCCACTCTTGCTTTTGTCGCGCCTCTGGATCGGTTCACTCCTGCTCGAACTTTCTCGGTTGCCTCAAAAAGTGGATCACGCTGCGCGAATATACCTCGGTACCCAAAATACATAGGCATTCCAAATGATTCTTTCATTGCTTGCTGCCAGTGTGTCAAAGCTGCAATGGCTTTCCGCCATCCTTTCTTCTCTGCTACAACGGGTATGTTGTACGGGTCCTTCCGCGAAATTGTTTCTTTTATTTCCAATTTTTTATCGGAATCCCACAAAGTTATCGCTTCCGCCAACTCATCCACTTTTTGAAACGGAATTTTGGCAACAGCGTCTGGTAGAAATGTGTCTACCACGCGCCCCAGTGTGACTCCACTGCGGCACACTGCTGCCGTACATTCACGGTTCTTCCCCATGATTGTTTCTTCCACATTCAGTGCTCTGCGGGGTTCTTGTCCCTGTTCGAATACCACTTGAGCGACTGCTCTGGGTCTGAAATTGTATCTATGTACTCTTGTTCTCCGTGCTTTCTTTCCGGGACTCTAACCTAACTTCAGCGGTCTGCGAGCCCTTCTCCTCCGTGATGCACCTAGCAGATATTTCCCTCCCACCACTTCCTTGGGGATTTTCCGCAGGTGGTCCAACTGCACTTTGAACGCTTGTTCTCTTCCCCCTATCGGCTTTACTGTGGCACTATTGTCCGTCATCGCCAAGATGCGGTATGGTCCCACGAATTTATGGCTGAACTTGGGATGCCGGGTCTTCCTGATCTCTGTTGGCATATACACGAGTACCCGTTCTTCTATCCGAAACGGATTAGCTTGCACGTGGATACGCTCATCGCCTGCTCCACCCGAGTACGTTGGAGCGCCTGTTCCCTAATTTCTTGGAGTCCTACCATCGGCTCTGTACGGTGGTCATCCAAGTCTATTATGTTCCTAGTGGACTGTGATCCATGCATTTCCGGCCAAATCGGATCTTGCCCATTTAGCAGGAAATACGGGCTCTCACCCGTGACTTCGTGAGGCACTGTATTATAACAGTACAGGACGAAGGTTAACTTCCGGTCCCACTCTATGGGCACTGTGGTACTCTTCGCTAACTTATTTATTAATGTTCTATTCATACGTTGTGTCAGGCCATTCTCACGTGGGTTAAAGCCTACGGAAACTTCTGTCCCATCCTGAACAGTATTGCAGCTTCTTGCATAAGCTCATTCCCGAACTCTCTACCTCGGTCGAAGATTAGACATTTCGGGCAGCGTCCTTCCCGAGCCACCCATTCTTCTACGAAAACGTGAGCTGTTGTCTCTGTTCGCTTATCCGACACTGCATATGCTGAATACCATTTGCTAAACGCGTCAATAATGGTAACTGCATATCGGTTACTCCTCCTAGTGGGCCCAAGCTTTACGATATCTATTCCACAGATTTCGTATGTCGCAGCAGTTATAATGGGCTTAAGGGGTGGTATTTGTGTGGGCTGCGGGTTATGCTCGGCACACATTATGCCACTTAGCGAAATCCGCTTGCATTCCTGCCCCAGTAGAAGTGCTTCGAGAGCTGTCGCCACAGCTTTTTTTTTTCTCGCACTCAGATGGCCAGCAAATACTCTTCATGAGCTTTTCGAAAAAGCTCCTCACGCTGGCTTTTGGGGACGACGATCTGGATCCGCCCATCTTCACTAACATGATGCAGACCCTGCTCGTCCAGAAAATATTTATCTACGCTGCCACCCTCCTGCAACCGTTTAATTACTTCTGAAAACTCCGGATCTTCCCTCAGTTCCGTTAACTGGTCTTTATCCGGAGTATTTATAGTCATTATGATAGCGTCCTTCCCGAAGGCAAGGTGCCTCATCGTGGCCGGGAAGTGGCAACGCTTAGAGATGAGGTGGTGGT